GGGGGGGGGGGGGGGGGGAGAGGGAGAATTCCAAGCAGGCTCCACGACAGTGCAGAGCCTGATGCTGGACTTGAACTCACAAATTGTGAGACTATGACCTGAGTGGGAACCAAGAGTCAGACGCTTAACCAACTGAGCCACCTGGGCACCCCATGTTCATTTTTTAAAAAGGAATGGCTTCATCTCTTGACTGGGAAAATAAATATCCTTTTTCCAATGTTGAATCCTAAAGTCAGAAACGTACATCCCACAACATAACTCCGTGAATATTAATTACCTGAATAAGAAAGACAATGTCAATAACCTGCAAGTGTCCAAGGTCATCAACGTAAGTCTCCAGATACAAGTCCGACACCACCACCAACTGGACCAGAAACACGGTGCTCACAACGGCCATGGTGGCAGCTGAGGCCGTCAACGTCAAGAGGTAGATGAGGAAGTACCTGGCGTTCCAGGCCCCGATACAGTTGTTCACCCAAACACAGTGATGGTCAAAACGGTGCACACACCTGTTACACACACCTGCACAGAAAAGGGAAAATCACAGCCCTGAGTTAGTCCTTGAAGAAACAGGAGACCATGCACACCTTTGAAATTTTTACAAACTGACTCCTGGCAGATGTTGGAGGAAATGGCGACTGCCATCACCAGGCTATTAGAAGTGCAGGGTCTAGTACAGTAGCTGCGAGCCACAGAGGGGTACTGAGCACTTAAAATGTGGCCATGAGGAAAACCTGAAAGAATACTGTTTATTTTGCTAAATTTAGAGTTGTTTTTCCATTTATGCAATGCTCCTTTAAGTTCAATATCAGCAATGCTGAGATGACATAAGGGTTAGTGAATTTACTTAACTTGCACAGACTTAACTTTGAAACTGATGGTTTTTTTTTAATGTTTACTTTATTTTTGAGACAGAGAGAAGGAATGTGAGTGGAGGAGGGGCAGAGAGAGAGGGAGACACAGAATCTGAAGCAGGCTCCAGGTTCTGAGCTGTCAGCACAGAGCCTGACACGGGGCCCAAACTCACGAACTGAGATCACGACCTGAGCCGAAGTCAGACACTTAACCGACTGAGCCATCCAGGTGCCCCAAACCAATGCCTTGAAGTCAAATTAATTCTTCTTATAGAGATGAATCATTACGTGACTATTAAAGGAAAATGATTATGTTATGGAAAAAACTTGTAAGAATTTCTAGAGTAACTTGGGTACGTGAATCTGCTCTTCCAACTGCAAATTTTATGAAATCTAAATAAAGGTCAAGAATTTCCTATGAAAATTTATTGTCTCAATTGAGATGTGCTGTAAATGGAAAATATATACCAAATTTCAAAGACTTAGTATGAAAAGGAGAATATAAACTAACCCATGAATGATTTTTACAACTGACTACATGTTAAAATGGTGTTTTAGGGGCACCTGGGTGGCTCAGTGAGTTAAGCGTCTGACTCCTGATTTCATCTCAGGTCATGATCTCACAGTTCGTGAGCTCAAGCTCCACAGTGGGCTCTGTGCTGCCAATGTGAAGCCTGCTTGGGATTCTCTCTCTCCCTCTCTGCTCCTCCCCTGTTCACTCTCTCGCTCAAAATAAATAAACTTAAAAAAAAACAGCTCTTACATAAACCATGATATTTTAAATAGGTTACGTTAAATAAATACATAATTAAATTTAACGCTGCCTCATCTTACTTTTGTAATGTGGCTACTAGGAAATTTAAATCACACATGTAGCTCACATTATATTTTTTGGGCAGCACTAGTCTAGAATCTTGGCTACTCCCCAGAAGAGTAGGCTCTGCCAGCACTGAAATCTGCAAACACAGCATCCCACAGAAGTCCTGTTGGGCAACACGCCCCGCCGCGTGGCACAGGATGGGCTGTTATGCCTGGGGCTGAGTTGCCCACTATGTAAGAATATCGAGACCTCACCTCCAGTCATCTGAAGGAACCACTATCTGGCCTCTACAAGCAGAGGCTGCCCATGCCTGGGAGACAAATGGCCTTGCTTTAGATTTCTGGAACCTTCCCTTACTGACAAAGCCCACGTCTGTTGTACAAAGGTAGAGAGGGAGCAACCAAAGCCAAACTTACGGCAGTGCTTGGATCGCGCTGGTTTCCTCACATTGCAAGTGAAGCACTTCATATTCTTTGGGAACATCACTTCATCGAATTCATAAACTTGAAGTAACGAAAACTCGTTTGCTTTTGTTATAGTGCCTGAAAAAAGGACAAATGTCAGTTTTGAGCAATATGGTAGACTGGACATTCACAAAATCTGTCCTGACAAAGTGCAACTAAAACTTATATATTTAATATTCTAAATAACTCACTTTAAATAAAGCTTTGGGGCACCTGAGTGGCTCAGTCGGTTAAGCACCTGACTTGATTTCAGCTCAGGTCATGATCTCACAGTTCATGGATTGTGGACAGTGGGATCGTGGATCCCACTGTGGAGCTCTGCATTGACAGGGTGGAGCCTGCTTGGGATTCTCTTTCTCCCTCTCTCTCTCTGCCCATCCTCTGCTCGCTCTCTCTCACGATAAATAAACTTAAAATTTTTTTTAAATAAATGGCTTTATTGAGATACAACTCACAAGCCCAATTCGCCAATTTAAAGTGCACAATTCAACATATTTTAGTACATTCACAGAGTTATGCAACCATCACCACAACCAATTTTAGAATGTTTTTATCATTTCAAAAAGAAACCCGTTAGCAGCCACTCTACATTTGTCTCTAATCCCAGCCCCTGGCAATCACTAATCTACTTTCTGTCTCTATGCATTTGCCTTTTTTGGATATTTCATATGAATGGAATCATACAATTTGTGGTCTTTTGTATCTGGCTTTTTTTTTTTTTTAAGTTTTATTTATCTTGCAACAGAGAGTGCGTGCGCACACATATGCAGGGGAGGGGCAGAGACAGAAAGAGAGAGAGGGAGAGAGAGAATCCTAGGCAGGCTCCACACTGTCAGCGCAGAGTGCCACGCGGGGCTCGAACTCATGAACTGTGAGATCATGACCTGAGCTGAAATCAAGAGTCAGACCTTAACCGTCTGAGCCACCCTGGCGCCCCTCTGGCTTCTTTCATTTAGCACAGTTTTTCAAGGTTCATCTATGTTCTAACACATGTCACTCCCTCATTCCTTCCTGTTGCTGAATACTGTCCCGTCGAATAGGCACACCGCAGTTTACCTGTTCATCAGCTGTCGGACCCTTGGTGCTTCAAGGATAGAAAGGCTTAAAAGGAAAGGCATGGAGGGGCGCCTGGGAGGCTCAGTCAGTTAAACATCCAATTTCAGCTCAGGTCATGATCTCCCAGTCCATGAGTTTGAGCCCCGCCTCGGGCTCTGTGCTGACAGCTCAGAGGCTGGAGCCTGCTTCGGACTCTGTGTCTCCCTCTCTCTCTGCCCCTCCCCCGCTCATGCTCTGTCTCTCTCTGTCTCTCTCAAAAATAAACAAACATTTAAAAAAAAAGTAAAGACATGGAAAAAAGATACCAAGCAAATATCAATCCAAAAAAGTGTAATAATATTAACATCACACAAAAGAGAACAGAAAGCAAAGAGCGTTACTAGTGACAAAGAGGCTAATTATACTTTGAAAAAAGATTCAATGGAAAGAGAATACCAATTCTTAACTTGAATGCATATAATACAAACATACACATAACCATGATATACGTATACACACACACTATAAGTAAATAAGTAAAGCAAAAATTGCAAGGAGAAATCTCAAATCTACCATCAGAATGAGATAACATGCCTCTCTCGATAATTGATCACACAAAAATATTAGTATGAATATAAAAGACTTGAACATAATTTAAAAACTTGATCTAATGGACTTATATGCTGTCTGTGCCTAAGAACAAGAAAACATATTCTTCCAAGCACACACAGATCATTTACAAAAACAACACGTGACCGCCATAATGCAAATTATCAATAAAATGTTTAAAAGAAACTGTGTCATAGGGATCACAAACTCTCTATATAACAAAATTATTAGTGAAGAGATCAAAAAATAAACTAAAAGAGTATATGGAAAATTTTAAGCTGTTCTAAATAACCCACAGGTCAAAGAAGAAATAACTTAGAAAACAATCACAACCGAAAGATCATGAGACCACTATGTATCAACTCTTTTGCAAAGTCCTCAGAGGGATCACTGGTCTGTAGCATGGTAAGACCGAGGGCTGCCGGTCTCTGTAGTGAGAGCCTCAACTTACCAGGGTTGCTTACGCAGCTGAGCGTGAAAAACACCAGGTTTATAACCAGCAGCAGGTAGGGCAGGAGAAGGTAATGCAGGGAGAACCCCAGCTCCTGACAGTAGCCAAATACTTCCCAGGTGTATTCAGCATAAACCATCCCTTGCAAGAGGAGGTGCAGCATAATGAAGGTGTGGTTTCTGAAAGGAAGTAGACACGTGGCTAGTTTTACAGGGCCTTGTCCATGAAGAAACCATGTAATACTAAAGTTAACCCGGGGCCAACCACTTCCTTTGGGCTTGGGATAACAGCAAGAATTACATAACAATGCGACACAGTTCTCACAGTGCCTAGCAATAGCAAGCATTCAATATTTGTTATCCATTACGATTATCATCTTTGCTGGGAAGTGAGGTATCAGGATAGATTTCTTTTTACAGGAATGCATGTCAATATATCCCCACTGTTTAAATATTTCTGTCAAAACTCCAAAAATAAAAGGCAGGTTATTTATGAGCAGAGGTCCTGAACCAGGACTCTTGATCCTTCCAGCCTCCTTCCCCATACCACAGCTGGAAACCAACAAGAAACTTCCTGAAGCTACAGGACAGCAACAGTTAGCAATCAAAACAGAAGAGAAGATAGTATGTAATCTGTGAAATATAAATACCGTGTGTGGAAGAGGTAATGAAGCACTTTTCGCATAGCTCTCTGAAGGCATTCTGGAATTATACAGGAAATTACCTAAAATAAAAGGATTCAGTTTCATTTCTCACCCCCCCCCCCCCCCCCCCACTCCCAAACAAATTAGATGCTTCCCGGTCAGCCGTCAATACTGGTGATCTTGTGTTTCTGCACATGGGCAGAGAAGAGATTTAAGAGAGAATAAAAAGGAGGGCTTCACTCAGCTGGTCTGCCTTTGATGCCAGCTCCTCCTTTTTCACCCCAGCACCAAAGAAAGCACCATGTCGGGGTCTTCAGGCAAAGGGAGGTGAGCAGAGGGACTGGACTAGGTAATGCCAATGTGAATTCCACTCCCTTCCCTGCCTTGGGTTCAATCTCAGATTCCAGAGTCCACACCTGCAGTCACTGGGCATTAGCCCAGGTCCCTCCCAAGTGAACCCCCTTGCCAAAGGCCACTGACCCCAACTTTGCTCACTTGGATTCTGAAGGAGTGTGGGCAGCTGATTCTCAGCTCTCTCCTCATACAGCCCCCAGTTCCACTCATCAGACCCCTCCAGGCAGACATTGCTCACATCCATGCCCAATCACGGGCATCAAATCCAGAGAAAAATAGCCAACCTCGAGAATGTGATCTTCTCTCAAAGCAACATCACAAGGTTACTTCAAGTAACAAAAAACAAAACCCACAAAAAAAAAAACACACACACACAAAAAAAAAACAGAGACTTTCAGATACACCATAACTGCCATAAATGAAAGAAGTGAACAAATGAATAAAAATGACATCTGTGTTTTGTTCCATCAGGGAACCGGTGAGCCTTTTAGATGTGGTAGTCACAATCCAGTGGTCTCTAAGCATCGTGGTTACCTGGGCTCCTCCTCTGACCAGGCCTCTCAGGTAATGGGTTTTTGAGCAGATGCATATCGTAACAACACCCATCAGCACCACAGCCAGGTAGAACAAGAAGAGAACCAGGAAGTCCATCCTGGGGCTACAAAGAAACAGAAAAAGTGTGACTACAACTGAGGGATAAAATCTATGGTGCACATTCTCAGACATCAACTCCCTAAACAAAATTCATCAGCCCTTGAGCACACACTGCCTCGCACTAGGGCCTCCCAGATGGTCCTGAGTTCTTCTGCTTAGGGAGTTTTCTAATCAAACCACTGTGATGTCTTTAGGGCACCTCCCGCCTGCAAATTCCAAAATAAAACCGGGGGAGATATGCCAAATGCATACACCTTCCCTCCCACCAGCAACAAATCATCTTTGTACTTCCTTAAACACTCACATAGACATTGATACAGAACATACCCAAAATAATCTGCTGACAACGTTACTGGAACAAGCAAACCCCAGAGGCAGTCAGGGACCCACACCCACAGCAATCAGGGATCACCCACAGGGGCCAGAGTCAACACACAGGTCTGTATTAACTGGAAATGGTTACTTTGGGTCTTAGCAAGTATGATTTGGAGCTGGACTTCCAACTGAGATCAGCAAACTACAAACTATTCACGAGGTAAGACAGAGGAAACAAAGAGCAGCAATTCTCACGTGATTCAGGGTCCCCAGCCTACATATTTCTGGTTTGGATCATTTTCAATCGGCCGCTCGGGCATTCCTCCTCCCAACATTCACGGAGAATCCAAACGGCATCCCGTCCTGTGCAGCGGCGCGCGCCCGGTGCAACAGGTGGCACCCAGAGCTGCCGGGGGCATGGTTCTAGAAGGCTGGATCTGGCTGCAGAGACATCGATAAAACACTCACATAATAAAACAGGGTGGGAGTCAGGAGCGGCAGAAATTGTGGAAAATAATTTGAAAGTCGGGGGATATAGTGTTACCTACCGCAGGGTGAAAGGGGTTATACGACTTCAGGAGGAAAAGCTTAATTGGGAAGAATAAGGCAGGAGCCTTGGATCCCCGTTCCTATCCCTAATCCCTGAGGTGCCCACGCTGCCCACCGAACAGAAAGGCTTTCCCAGGCTACGGTCCCGGCGGGCGGACGAGGCCAGAGCTTTCCCCGGGGGCCGGAACCCTGGGTGGGGGGCGGGGTGCAGAAGGCTCGGCGGGCAAACGGTGGGTGCCTGAGCACCCGGCGGGGCGGAAAGGCGGGTCAGCCTGGGTGTCAAAAAACCCCTGAGAGGCGGCCTTAGCGCCTGGATCGGCCAACCGCCAGCCGTACCGAGCCGGCGCCGTCAGGGCGCCTCTCTAGACTTCCGTCGGACCTGTGACGTTAGCACGCGACGCTCGCCGCCAGGCCGACTTCCGGCGGAAGTCCGTGCGGATGGCAGCTGGAGGCGGGGCCTGGCGCTCGCGAAAGAGCTGTCCCGGGTGTCCCTAGCTGCGCACTTGGGCTCCTTCAGAAGGTGGTCGTGTCTTGGGGCCGGAAGGTCGAACTTTGGGACGCTGTTGCCAGAAATCTTCCTAAACGACGGTCCTACGCTAGCGCGGGCGAGAACGCCGGTGCTGTGAAGCGGCCCGAGCCGCCTGGCGGCTTCGGTAGAACCAAGCCAAGCAGGGGCTCCGGCTGGCCCGTGGCAGGCACCCTTAGGGGCTCCTGTACTGAGTCTTCGTGAAGGGCAGGATTTGCTTTTTTGCTTTCTGCCAGCCACGCCGTTGGGCTCTGTCCGAACCGTTCCAGTGTCTTTGCGCCTGCTGTCTCAGAACAGCTCTGAACATGCTGCCCCTGGGAACAATGACAATTGCTTGACTCCAAACCTGGAGGATAAGAACTAAGGCTGTTTAATGACAGTTGAACCTGGGGTGAGAAGAGCTGCTTCCAAACATAGCATGGAGAAGTCTCCCGTGGAGCGTTCCTTTGCTCCGAACGCCTCTGAATCCGCTGGGACCAGTCTATTCTTGATGCCTCTGAAAAATCAGTCAGGCCTGTCTTCCCTTTGAAGGGAAATGTCTGATCTCCAAACACTGGCTTTAAAGCTCTTCTCTTTTTCTGTCTTTGCTACCTACCCCAGCTTCTTGATTCCTTTTCTTCTTCCTTTTTAAAAAACTTACAAGCTGGGCACCTTCTGGTACATGATGTGCAAGGCCATCATGAACTTGTGGACACAGTATTGAAAAACAAATTCCCCAAATCAGAAGATGTGATGCCTCCCCCCCCACCCCCCCGCCTCGGGGGCGTGGGGACTGTAAGTTATGGATGGAAAGTCATCACTTATCCAGAGTGGGCTGGATTGCATCAGTGTCTCCAGCTGACTCACCTTGCTGCTTAATTCTGAGCTTGTGGTTAAGTATTTTGAGTTAATTTTTCTTTTTTTTTTTTGCTTATAAATGCAAGTTTACTTTTATCCCCATTGATTTTTCTCCAGATGACACTTAACTTTTAATCTTGGTTTGATCACCTTTGTATTTTGCGTTGTCTTTAATTTAAAAAAAATTTTCACAATTAGTACTGTGTTCTTGTAAAAGAAACTATACAAAACAAAAACAAAACCCTTCCTTGAACATCACCCCGAAATCCCAATCCCTTGAAAAAATTAACCACTTATTTAGTATATCCTCCCCAAATTCTTTTGTACATTTATTCATAGGGGTACCTGGGTACAGCCAATTGACCTGGCTCAGTCAATTAAAAGACTCTTGGTAGCTCAGGTCTTGATCTCAGGGTTGTGAGTTCAAGCCCCATGTTGGGCTCCATGCTGGGCATGAAGCCTACTTAAAAAATAATAATCTTATACATTTATTCATAAGTATTCAACAAATATATATTGAGCACCCAATATATGCCAGGCACTTTTCTAGGCACTGGGAATATAGCAATAAAACAGAAATGTTCCTGTATTTTATAGTTTACATCCTAGTGTATATACACAAATATATAATTGGTTGTTGTTTATAGAAATGGCATCATACATAATGGTACTCTATCTTCCTTTTTGGTTTTTTTTTTTCAGTCTTGGTGATCTTTCCATATAAATATCTATTATATTGATTTACCTCATTATATGCATTTCATTACATAGCTGAGCTATAACTCGTTTTCCAGGGTCCCAAATTCCAGTGCCTACAGGGACTATGCAAGTAATAAGTAGAGTGACAAGTAGAGCAAGTTTATTTTTTTCTAAGCAGAAATAGCTGTTTATGCAGACCAAAAGGATTGATAACTTGAATTACAGTGTTTCAAGAGTACTTGAAAATCTGGGTTTTTAGAACATAAATATGATTTTTTAAATAAATTAATAATTTATTTTTGAGAGAGAGAGAGAGCATGCATGCACAAGCAGGGTAAGGATAGAGAGAGAGAGAGAGAGAGAGAGAGAGAGAGAGAGAGAGAGAGAGAGAGAGAGAGAGAGAGAAACACCGAATCTGAAGCAGGCTCCAGGCTCTGAGCTGTCAGCACAGAGCCCCATGCGGGGCTTGAACTCTCAAACTGAAATCGTGACCTGAGCTGAAGTCAGACACCTAATCAACTGAGCCACTCAGGTGCCCCCATAAATCTAATTTTTTTAGTGTTGGCAACTAACCTAGGCTTTTAAAACACCATTCAGGCTAAGCAGAACATACCTGCAGGACAAATTTAGCCCAAGGGCCACCAGTTTGCAATATACTGTTCTATTACTAAACATGGAGATTCATGTCAGTTTTTGCTATTACAAAACAACGCTACAGTGGAAATACCTGTGTGAGCTTCATTGCACACAACTAGGTGTGTTTTTCTAGGGCAGCTATGTGAAGTAGAATTTCTGGGCCAAAGAATATATAAGCATTTTAATTTTAATAGATGGCTGTTAAATTGCTTTTCCACCACAAATGTCTGAATCTGTCTCTCCAAACCCTTGCCAGCATTTAATATATCAGTTCCTTTAATATTTATCATTCTAATGGATAAAATGAAATTTTATTTATTTGCTCAACAAACATTTATAAAGTGATTCCTGGGTTCCAGTTACTGTTGTAAGCACTTAAAAATTTTTTAAATATCATTTAATGTTTATGGAACTCAATGAGATTATAATAATAATAATTGTTATTATTATTATTATTATTAACCTATAGATGAAGAAACAGGCACAGAGAAGTTAAATTTCCTAGAGACATAGAGCTAGAAAGCATTAGAGATTCAAACTCAGACCTTTGGACTCAAGAGTCAGTATTCTCAATTACTGTGCTGTGCTATCTTGATCACCACTAGCCAGTTTCTAGTGATGAATGTCTTATGTGCTTATTGGCCAATTACGTTTCCTCTGTTGTGAGTTGTTTACAGTTATCCATTTTTTATTTGAGTTGTTTACCATTTTCCTGTTGCTTTGCAGTACTTATTTACATATATTATGTATTTGTTAAGGTACGGACTAGCTGCTTCTCTTGGTTTAGCCCCCTCCGCCCTCAAAAAGCAAACCCCAAAACAAGGATTTGGTAAAGGCAGCTTGTCTGTTTTTTTTTAAGTTTATTTATTTATTTTGAGAGAGAGAGAGCACAAGCAAGGGAGGGGCAGAAAGAAGGAGAGAGAATCCCAAGCAAGCTCTGCACCATCAGCACACAGCCCAGTGCGGGGCTCGAACTCGTGAACCTGTGAGATCATGGCCTGAGATCAAGAGTCAGACGATTAACCGACCACGCCCTCCAGGTGCCCCCAAGTAGCTTGTTTTTGGAGATAATCCCAGGAAACATGGCGAAGGATTGGGAAAGTGAGAGAAGACTGGAAAGCCAAGAAAGCAGATGTTGATAAGTACAGGTGGGCGCGCGGACCTCAGTCCTACCGGGGACCCTCTGAGAGGCTCCAAAGAATATGCCTCCGAATCGTTCCACTGAGGGACAGCGCAGCAGCGGTATTCACCCAGCCATTGCTGAGGCGGTACCTCCCTAGTCCTTCTGGCCTGCCCACACAGAACCCAGCCCAGCCCCAAGGAGAGAACCCCCTGAAGCAGAGACTCCATCAGCATGTACAGGAACCATTGCAGGTGACCTCTCCAGTGGGCTGCGGGGATATAGGCAGGACACCTACAATGTCTGCTTTGCCGTTAGGACCGAGAGATCCCCAAACACAATGGCTGCAATAGGAAAGAAGTCTATTTCTTTCACACACTATTGTCCTGAGGAAGGTGGCAGTCCACAGCAGTCGGCAGTTCTGTCCCAGGAGATCCACAAGATCACACAAAGACCCGGATTCTTCCTATCTTGTTCTCCACCACCAGGCAAAAATTCCCAAACTTTCTCTGTACAGGGCACCCTTAAGTGCCTTAGAGATTCTTTCACAGAGCTCCTAAGCCCAAAGAAATATCTAACAATCTCCACTCTTAAATAATGAGCTCCAAACAACTTCATAAATATTTATGTCCTAACAACTTAGTGTCCATTGCACAGTTTATCAAACTTTAAAATCAGATTGGGAACCACTGTTCTCGTTATTTGCTCCACATGGATATTCCAATAGCAATTGCTTCCTAAATCCATCTTCTCAAAGATGCAATATCAGGAACTTGGTGACCTAATGTTGAAAATGTGAACTAGTTCAAGCTGTCATGTCATGCACGACACAGAAATAGCTTTGTTTCCTCAAAATGTTAAGATGCCCCACAGCACTCCTAGAAGCTTGTTCCGGCACCCCACGGCACTTTGTGCACAGTTTGGAGACACAGCACTAGGGTGGT